AATAGTGCCACTGTGTTCCAGCCTAGGTGACAGTGAGACTATCTCTCTAGAAAAAAAAATGTTGGGGTAAGACCTAGATAATTCTAAGATGCCTTCTAACTTGAACATTCCATAATTTTATGAAATATATATGATGAGGAACAATGGAAAAATTGGCTGTGTTTAGCCTTGAGAAGAAAAAAAGCCCTACTCTTAATGAACGCCTTTAAGTATCAAAAAGTTGCTTTACTGAAAAGGAAATAATCTTTTTTTAAAACAAAAAGGTTATATTATGTGCTCAATAGACATTGTATATGTTTCAAGTACTGTATTTACAAAGTTAAAATAAACAGAAGTGTGATTTGTTTTATATTAATAGTATGGTATAATGGAAAAGAAAAACATTAAAAAAATCAAAACCATGTGTAATTGCTAACCCCATGATTTTCAAGTATAGTTGGCAAATTTGTTTCTATAACCTTTGGCTTTTCAGTCTATAAATGGGGATAAATAAAGCCTACTTTGCAACAATTATTGTGAGGATTAATTTATGTGAAATGCTGAATGAATACCTAGTACATAGTAGGCATCGAATACACGTTAGTTAACCTCATTTCCTCCCCCCTCCATAGTTGTTAAAGACTTTATTAAGGGGGCAAAAATGATATATTAATATTACTTAAGGATTTTATTTAAATAAATAACTTACCAAGAGTAGCATAATAGCAACACAGAGCCCCATACGGTGTCCTTTATGCTAGTGCTATTGATAACAATGATCAATATATACAGAGAATGGATGTAAATTGGAGGTTTTCATAGCTGTGTGAGCTATTATGTAATTTATATATAAAATGCACCACCAACTACTCAGGCGCCCAACCCAGCAAACTTACCACCAGCATTGACTCCCTTGTTTCATTAACTTCTATATTCAATCTTTCACCAACCTGTATTGATTTTACCTCCTAAATATTCATTACTCCATCCACTTCTTTGCATCTCCTCTCCCTGCAGATCACCATCATCTCTTACCCCGATTGATTTAATAATGTTCAAACTAGTGTCTGCCTTCAGCATTGCTTTTCTGGTCCTTTACCATAATGTATCCATCCTAACTTTATTTGATGAATGAATAAATGAACATTTTGAATTTCCAGGATATGAGGGAAGTCACTCAGTATATAATGATTATATTGTATTTTGATTTTTGTTTGACCCATTTTGAGCCTGAGATGAGCAGCAATTTGTTCTTACATAGGAGATGGCTTTGTGATTAGGACAAAGGGAAATGATTACTTAACCAGTTATACGAAAAAAGCAAGAACCATTAAATCACATACAGAAGTAAGTGTTTTTTGTTTTATTTTGTTTTTGAGACCGAGTCTTGTTCTGTCTCTTGGGCTAGAGTGCAGTGGCATTATAGCTCATTGCAACCTCAAACTCCTGGCCTCAAGCAATCCTCCTACTTTGTCCTCCCAGGGTGCTAGGATTACAGGTGTGAGCCACCATGCCCAGCATAGAAGTAACTGGTTTTTAAAAATTTATTTTTATTTTGTTTTGTTTTGTTTCCTAGCCAGTAGACCATCAGGGAAGAAGTAACTGTTTTTAAAGGCAGGAGGTGCTTTTATTATTTGAGACTTGGGACAAATAATTTTAAAAACATTGGAATAAATTTAGAAAGACTGTTTCAAGATGGATTATAACCTCACAATCTCACAAATGGGTATATTAGATATGGATAACTCAAAAATCTTGTACTAGAGTTTTTGATATATGGCTTTTTTTCCTTAGAGGCAATGAGCTTACTTATTTATATTTATATGGAAAAATTCACACAAAATGTGTACCACTATTATAATTTGTCACTAAGGGCTTAAAAATGTGCTCCTATTTTATCATAACAGTTCATCTGAAAAATTGTAAAAAGGAACAGATTTCAATTACCTTCATCAACTTAAACAAGTATGGGTAATTAGTGAAAGATTTTCATGAGGTACACAATCTTATTCTTTTTTTTTTTATTTTTTCTTGAGACAGAGTCTCACTTTGTTACCCAGGCTAGAGTGAGTGCCGTGGTGTCAGCCTAGCTCACAGCAACCTCAATCTCCTGGACTCAAGCAATCCTCCTGCCTCAGCCTCCCAAGTAGCTGGGACTACAGGCATGTGCCACCATGCCCGGCTAATTTTTTTTCTATATATATTAGTTGGCCAATTAATTTATTTCTATTTATAGTAGAGAGTGTGTGTGTGTGTGTGTGTGTGTGTGTGTGTGTGGCTCTTGCTCAGGCTGTTTTCGAACTCCTGACCTTGAGCGATCTGCCCGCCTTGGTCTCCCAGAGTGCTAGGATTACAGGCATGAGCCACAGCGCCCGGCCCACAATCTTATTCTTGATTCTAATAACTATGTACCCTTTTATAGATTTTGTAGTTGTTTTCTTTTTTGACTAACCAATCTGGGCAGCAGCAAATTGTATACATAAGTCCCTGGATCTTTAGATTTTGCTGAGTGTTAAAAGTGTTTCTTTTGGTATAGATTCCCAGTTGCCAGAAATTGGAATCACATACTTTCAGAGCCAGATGATCAGTTTCATAGGCATCACCTGGAAACTTGTCAGAACTATAAACTAGTCCAGAGCAACTGAATTAGAAACTCTGGAGGGGTGGAGCCATCAGTCTGTTTTAGTAAGCCCTTCAGGTGATTTCAACCTACACTGAGGTTTGAGAACTGACTTGAGTTTAACCCTGTGATTTTTAGATAAGGACATTAAGGTCCAAAAAGGTTGTCACAAATTAGAGAAAGTGCTAGAATCTTCTAGGTAGGTTCTAGAATGATGAATCATCCCTCAGGAAATTTGATTATTGGGCTAATTGCTAAGCAGTATTTGAAAGAATGCTAGGTGGGAATAGATATTGGGGGAAGCATCTGTCTACCATTTAACACACCTGGTGGGCTTCTTAAAGTTCAATCGCATTTTTGAGCCATTGAAGTTAAATCTGAAAGAAAAGTTTATTTGATCTAATACTTGTTTTATTCATTTGATTATTCATGTGTCTTATTCCCTGAAGCAAAGTTAATGTGTCATTTAAGTAAATACCCCATCATTCCATCACTCCTGCTTTCTATCTAATGAATCTCTAGGGTGAGCCCCTGCAGCTTTCATATTTTAAGAAGCTCCTCCCATTTAAGTTTGAGAATGACTAATACAGAAAAAAATGTTTAAAATGGTTAAGAATAAAACTAGTTGGGCTAGACCAATATTTTCAACATCTGCTAATTTGGGTTCTACAGTGAAAACTCATACATTTTACAAATGTATATATCATAAAGCCAATATAACATTAGGGTTTGCTCCAGAAATTTGTAATAGAATGGTATTAAAATGCTTAAGCTAGTTTCCTCATCATCTGGGAAAAAAAAATTCACTGTAGTAGGGCCAAGAGATCACCAGAGTAAGAACAAGAGTTGAAGCCAGGCGCGGTGGCTCACGCCTGTAATCCTAGCACTCTGGGAGGCTGAGGCGGGCGGATTGCTCGAGGTCATGAGTTCGAAACCAGCCTGAGCAAGAGCGAGACCCCGTCTCTACTATAAATAGAAAGAAATTAATTGGCCAACTAATATATATATATAAAATTAGCCGGGCATGGTGGCGCATGCCTGTAGTCCCAGCTGCTCGGGAGGCTGAGGCAGGAGGACTGCTTGAGCCCAGGAGTTTGAGGTTGCTGTGAGCTAGACGCCATGGCACTCACTCTAGCCTGGGCAACAAGCGAGACTCTGTCTCAAAAAAAAAAAAAAAAAAAACAAGAGTTGACACAATGTGCCAAGCACCCTGGTGGTGGCTCATGCCTGTAATCCTAGCACTTTGGGATGCTGAGGCAGGAGGATTGCTTGAGCCCAGGAGTTTGAGGTTGCAGTGATGATGCCACTGCACTCTAACGTGGGCAACAGACTGACACCCTGTCTCAATAAAAAAAAAAAAGTTGAGACAATGGATCTTATTGTGAACTACACCTCATCTAAGATGGTAATGCCTGGAGCCAACCTCGACTTTCCACAGTACAAATAAAGGTCATAGCTTGGTATCTCAGCAGGTGTCAGGAGTTTTCGTTTTTTTCAAGATTATATTGTGTGAGGTAGTCAGGTTTAAGAAAAAAAAGTACAGTATCTGGAGAATAAGGACAGAATCATAACTTCACAAGGTCAAACACATCTACCTTAAATTTTTTGTATTTAACAGTATTCAAGGTGTTTTCACAAATTTTTATCTATGTATGCAACAGTCCTATGTAGAAAGAAATTTGTACTAGCAAAACCGTTTTCAAAGTTTTAAATACTGAATCTTTGAAGGAAAAAAGAAAGCGAAGTTGACAGAATCAGAGGAATGACAGAAAAGGTTGTGAGGAAGCAAACCCCAGAAATGGTAAGCACAAAAAGCGGAGGGCCAGGGAGCGGGCAAACCAGAACAGACAGGGGCTAATGTGGCAGGGAAAACAGCTTTAGTGGATAAATACAAAAAAGCAGGAGTGTAGGAAATTTGGGATTTACGAAACTGCAAATTACTTTGTAACAAAGAGGATGAGGTCAAAACAGAAAAATGAAAAGTCAGGTGGCACTTAAAGCTACATGGAAGTTTTCTGAGCATTATCCCTGCCCGGGTGAGGTGTGATCTTTCACAGAGGATGGTCCCAAGAGTCCAGGCTGTGATCTCCTTCGGCCTCCAGTCAGGAGCAGAGAAAGCCTCAGAAGTTCCTCCGGACGATGACCTCCACCGGGGTCGCCCCAGCGTGAGGACAGCGCCGAGGTGAGTCACGGAGAGCTCCAGCAGGAAGCCAGCGGAGCCGGCAGCGCGCTCCCGCGCGGCTAACAAAGGCAGCGGGAGGGGAGACTTCCCGAGCTCCGCAACCCAAGGTGGCCGAAGGGTTAACTGCGCGACCGAATCCTGCGCGCATCCCGGCCCCCACCCCCGCCGTCGCTAGGAGACGCCGGAAGTGGGGGAGGGGCGGGCGGCGCGGGCGAGGGTGGGAATCTTTTTCGGGCGCCGGGGGCGGAGGGCGGGGAGCGCGCGTGCGCGCGCCCGGCCGTCCGTCGCCGCGGTGACCGTTCTCGCAGCCCGTCGGCTCGCGCCCCGCCCCTGTCGCCCCCTCCCCTGTAGCGCGCTGGGGCTGTTTTTCGCTCCTTCGGAGTTACCGCCGCCGTCTCCGCTGCTCCTCCTCTCCCGGTCTCGGGCTTCCCTGGCGGTGCCGCCGCTGCTACCTCTGCGGGCTATATGAGGAGGAGGAGGAGGAGGATGTGAAGATGGCGGAGCTGCAGATGCTGCTGGAAGAGGAAATCCCGGGGGGCCGCCGGGCCCTCTTCGACAGCTACACGAATCTGGAGCGGGTGGCCGATTACTGCGAGAACAACTACATCCAGGTGCGACGCATCCCCCGGCTCGGGCGCGTCGGGTCTCGGGGTGGTGAGGGGCGCGTGGGGGATCCCCAAACGGGGGCCTCACGCCTGGGGGCGTAGGGGCGCGGGGCCGAGGCCGCCGCCGGGACACGGCCCGCTCAGCCTCCGGTGGGGAGGCGGGTGAGGAACAGGGTGAAGCCTGGGACCAGTGAATGGGTGGGAATCCAGTGGCTGGAGGAAATCGTATCTTTAAAACATTTTTAAAAGCCGTGAACCAGTCCTCAGCTCGGTGCGTGAGTCGCGCGCGTCCCGCCTCCTCGCTTCTGCCCTCGGCTGCCCCCGCACTCCGTGCGGGTCTGTGCTCCGGATGGCGGAGGAGGCGGAGAGTGGCATTTTCTATTTGACGGAATTTTGCTCCCTCGTTTGGTAGAGGTTGGGGGCGGATTGATGGATTGCCCCCACTCCCCAAATTCTGGGGGATTTTGAAGGGGCTATATTGCTGCAAAGTGAAGTGCCTCCGTTTTCTATTCCTGTGAATGCATCAAAAACCTTTTTCTTAATTTTCGGGGTTCTAAAAGGGGAAACGGCAGATGAGCAGTTGTGTCTTGTTGGAAGTTAATGCCATTTTTCTCCCTATGGAGAATGGGAAGTTGCATGATAATCTGGTTTTCCCCCTCAGTCCCGTTAGAATAGGTAATTTTCCTCTGGGAAGAACTGTGACTGTTTTAGAGAGAATTAGGAAAATGAACCACATGGTTTAATTTTTTCCCGTGATGGTTGGTTTGGCACAGGTGCTCATAGTGGTAGCGGGTGTGTGTGTGGAGGCGGGGAATATTGGGTGAGATAAGATCCAACTGCTTCTGGATGAAGCAAAAGATTCTGTGAATTAAAAAAAAATCCTTTAAAAATTACATGAAAGGTTAGGTTAAAACTCACAGTTGGCAAATGCAGCATCTTTTGTTTTCTTTATGGTTATTCTGAATTGCAGGTTCTGCCTCCATTTTTTTCTTTATTTAAATTCTCTTGGTATAAAGGTGGAAATGAAACCAGTATGTTAAATTGTTTCTTCAGTCTTTTTTTTTTTCTTCCCTGTTTCCATCCCTATCTCTCTAGGCATCCTTAACATCAGCTGTATTGGAAAGCATTCTCAAGTCTTAGTGTAAATTTAAAAAAATAGCTGTTAAAATTCATAGGTCCATAAATTTTGTAAGGGCCACATGGTTAATTAAGGATGGTGTTGTGAGATTTTATTTGATTAATCATATAGTGAACTCTGTATTTCTTGTAGAGAACATTAGTATTGGAGAATGAATCAGATGTAATTCAAACCTTTTCCCTCCCGAGAGGCAGTTAAGTATGGCTAGTAGGAAGGAATGTGGTCAAAAGTCAAAGATTACTATAGAAAAAATACATATGTCCATATTTGTAGGTACTTTGCTGATAGTGGGATAGGAAAGATTCAAAGGTATATTTGCTCAATTTTTTTAGTAAATGTATTTGAAATGTATTTATGGTCCAGAGCTGTGTCAAGGATTGATGGTTACACACCTAGTGTCTGCAGAGTTTCATAGTCTGGTTAGCAAGGGAGGCTGATCTGTGAGCAAATTAATACCATATAGTTAGTTTACACTCTGTAGTGAACTGCTGGTGGGAAGAAGAACTAGGGGAAGCAGTGCTATCCTGAGAGAATTCATAATCCCTAGGAGAGGCAAAACCTAAAATATTTAAGTGGTAATTCCATTGCCTTGTGCAGCATATTATGGGAAACAGTTGTAGGTCAGCAGAGAAATTGAAGGTGGAAAAGTGATTGGATTGCAGTTACTGCAGTAAGTAAGAAAAAGAAATGGATTTGTCTGTCTTTGGAAGATAATTTTTATTGTAATTTGAAGGTACCAGTTCCTTTTAGATCAGGGGTCCTCAACCCATGGTGAATTGTATAATTATTTTATTGTATATTACAATGTAATAATAATAGACATAAAGTGCACAATAAATGTAATGCGCTTGAATCATCCTGAAACCATACCTCTCACCCCCACCATGGAAAAATTGTCTTCCATGAAAATGGCCCCTGGTGCCAAAAAGGTTGGGGACTGCTGTTTTAGATTATAGTTGCTACATTAAGGTAAAAATACATGGATAAGTAAAGCTGAGAGGTTAATGGCATCAGCAATTATCTTTTTTATGTTTTATTCATTTCCTCTAGCTGAAAAGAGAAGAATGTTACTGTCACCAGTATGTGTTTTAGCAGCGAGACTCAAAATTTAATATGGTAGTGTTTTAAAATTTAAAGCATAAATATTGATTTAATAGAAATGGATTTAAAAGTATCTTATTTCCTCAATTTAGCATCTGAAGTAGATTTTACACTTTTACGTCTTAGATTATCATCTGTTTTAGTATCCAGTGGGCATATTATTGGTGCACTCTCCCAGGATGATAGCTCTTACATGATTTGTTATAAAGTTGACAAACAAAATATAGTGATAGTGGGTTTGTGCTGATCTAGCTGTACATTGGCCTTGTGACTAAAGCACTGATCAGCAGGGGTTTTGATGCTGCCTGTGACCCTGCAGTAGATGAAAGTTAATTGATGGGGATTGGTGATCAAATGGTCAATTTAGCCTTTTTATAGCATCATGTCTTAGCCACTAGCTTGAGTTAACTAACTAAACACTCATTTTATTGTGTGGAAATGTAATTTTTGCCTATAAAGCAGAAAAAAATTGATCATATGTAGTAAGTGTTTTTGCTCAGTGTTTTGTTTTTTTTTTTCTTTTTTGAGACAGAGTCTTGCTTTGTTGCCCAGGCTTGAGTGAGTGCCATGGCATCAGTCTAGCTCACAGCAACCTCAAACTCCTGGGCTCAAGCAATCCTTTTGCCTCAGCCTCCCGAGTAGCTGGGACTACAGGCATGTGTCACCATGCCCGGTTAATGTTTTCTGTGTATACTAGTTGGCCAATTAATTTCTTTCTATTTATGGGCAGAGATGGGGTCTCGCTCTTGCTCAGGCTAGTTTCGAACTCCTGACCTCGAGCAATCCGCCTGCCTTGGCCTCCCCCAGTGCTAGGATTATAGGCGTGAGCCACCGTGCCCAGCCTGCTCAGTGTTCTTAAGTAACTGGTTTTATGCCTAGGAATATAAAAAAAAATTTAAGGTAAATAAGAATATTCTAAATGTGGATTATATTTAGTGTGAAAGTTGAGCAAAGAGAGGGAAATAATTGTCCTTCTGAAAACAGTTGTGCTCTGTTTAAATTGTGTCTTAGAAAAGTACCCTTCAGAAACATTGGTTTTAGGAGTGATCAGATGATGCCTGTATTAACATATATATATGAAATCTACAGATAGAGCAGGATTGTAAATAGTTGTTTTCCAGATTACTAATGCAGTTAACATTAGAAGTTTAAAATCTTTTTTCTTTTTTTTTTGTGAGACAGTGTCTCACTCTGTCACCTGGGGCTACAGTGCAGTGGTGAGTGGTGTCATCAGAGCTCGCTGCAACTTGAAACTCCTGGGCTCAGGCAGTCCTCCTGCCTCAGCCTTCCTAGTAGCTGGCAACTTGTGCAGGTGCACACCACCACACCCAGCTTATTTTTGTATTTTGTTTAGAAACAGGGTCTTGGATCTCACTCTTGTTGGTCTCCAACTCCTGGCCTTAAGCAATCCTCTCACTTTGGCCTCCCAAAGTGGTTGGATTACAAGCGTGAGCTACAAATAAATTTCAAACTATATTACAAAGCCATAGTAATCAAAATGTGATACCGGAGTAAAAACATACATAGACCAATAAAACAGAATAGAGAGCCCAGAAATACGCATATATGTGTGTGTGTGTGGATGGATGGATAGATAGATAGATAGATAGATAGATAGATAGATAGATAGATAGATAGATAGATAGTCAGTCAACTAGTTTTGATAAGGGCACCAGGTACACAATGGGAAAGGATTGTCTCTTCATTAAAGGGTGTTGGGAAAACCGTATATCCACATGCAAAAGAATTAAATTGGACCTTTGTACCAAACACAGTATTAACTTGAAATGGATTAAAGACTTAAATGTAAGACCTAAAATTGTAAAACTTCTAGAGGAAAACATAGAGAAAAAGCTCCTTTACATTGGTCCTGGCAATGATTTTTATGAATATGACACCAAAAGCCAAGATAAACAAAACCAGAAATGAGAGTGATTGCATCAAATTAAAAACCTTCTGTACAGCAAAGGAAACAAAATGAAAAGGCAGCCTATGGAATAGGAGAAAATATTTGTAAACCATTTATCTGATAAAGAGTTTATATCCAAAATATATGAAGAACTTAATAGCAAGAAAAATAAAAAATCAGGTTTAAAAATGGACATAGGGGGCCGGGCGTGGTGGCTCACGCCTGTAATCCTAGCACTTTTGGAGGCCTAGGCGGGCGGATTGCTCAAGGTCAGGAGTTCGAAACCAGCCTGAGCGAGACCCCGTCTCTACCAAAAATAGAAATAAATTAATTGACCAACTAAAAATACATATATACAAAAAAATTAGCCGGGCATGGTGGCGCATGCCTGTAGTCCCAGCTACTCGGGAGGCTGAGGCAGTAGGATCGCTGAGTCCCGGAGATTGAGGTTGCTGTGAGCCAGGCTAGCACCACGGCACTCACTCTAGCCTGGGCAACAAAGTGAGACTCTGTCTCAAAAAAAAAAAATGGACATAGGACCTAAATGGACATTTTTTCAAAGAACACATACAAATGGCCAACAGGTGTATGAAAAGATGCTCAATAGCAGTAATCATTAGGGAAATGCAAATCAAAGCTAAAATGAGCTGTCACCTCACACCTGTTAGGATGGCTGTAAAAATGAGAGATGTCTTGGCAAGGATGCAGAGAAAAGGGAAGCCTTGTACACAGTGGTAATATAAAGTGGGACAACCATTGTGGACTTTCCTCAAAAATTAAAAATTGGACAACCATATGATCTAGCAATTCCACTTCTGGATATATAGCACAGGGAATGAAATTAGTATGTCAAAGAGA